GACCCATTAATATGACTGAACAAATAAATTACACAAACGAGTCGCCGAAACAGCACGTTGCTTCTTGGCGAGTGTCGAGACAATAGGGAATTTTCGTAGACCGGTCTGCCCCCTCCGCTAAGCGTTCCGCAACGAAGAAGTTGCTACTGCGCCTGCGCGCCGATAGCCTTGACTGTGGAGTTCCCGCTATCGTAGCGGGTTGCGGAGGGCCCTTGCGGGACGGCGAAAACGATCTATGAAAACTCCCTAATATCGTCCGAAAACCGGCTTCAATATTGGCCGGATGTACGGTTTTGCGTCTCGTCCCTACATCCGGCAGGTATGGGAGTACCGATGCAAATAAACGATTTATGTCTAATAGCACTGGCACCACTGATTTCTTAGGAGGCTAGATCGTGGATAGAGGCCTGTATTGCTGGGGTCGAGCGGCACCACCGGCAGTCATCGCTGACACAACTCAATTTTATTACGTTAGTAAATTGTTCTCCACCATGAAACTTCTATCATGTTTCCGCAAATAACAGTTAATATTGTGGGCAAGAATATTAAACGCGTTAGAATACCAATCTTGTTTAACTAAATGTTGTGTGGTTGAGGGTCCAGGGCTACTTTGTTGGGCGTTAACTGTTATGTGTTTAATGAGACAAGGGCTACCGAGAGTTATTGTGGAGTCATCCGTGATTTCGGAGTCATCAAAGCTCAGCAAACGATAAGTTAGAATGCCTTTACTAGGGTTTTTCGCATCGTTTTGACCGCTTGTACATAGTGCTTCATGGTGAAAGCTTTTTCTTTGAACTCCTGTGAGGGCTTCCGTGACAAACTGAAACTCGGAGCGTGCCGTTCAGTCGCTCGACGTGCCATTTATTTAGCAACCGAAGCAAGCGACGTCAGTGAAGTCAATTGTGCTCCGGCCAATTTTTTTTTAATCCATGTTCAAACGCTTGACGAATGTCTATTTGATCTTCAAGAACCCGACATAATCATCGCAGCACATCATAAAATGCTCACCCTCGAGCACCGCGTACAAGCTTCCAATTTTTGCATGTTTCTTCCATAGACTTGCGTGTATTGCCTCATGATGTAAAAGGCCAAAGCAACAAGGACGAAAATGAAGGGAGAACTAGACAGGACGCGGCATATTGCCTGTCGTCAAGCAATGGCCGCCGGTGAGGCCAGTGACGGGCTCCCAATTCGCGATACAGACTTGCACTGTGAGAGTTCTAATGCATTACACCCACCGAGTGCTGCACGGAGAACAGGCCCCGAACGAACTTGCCAAATGCACCCAGTGCAGACTGATGCTGTCGCCATAGATGTTGTAGAAAAGTACCGACCTCAAACCGAAACTAGCGTCTTTTTGTTCGACGTGATGGGTGGGAATGCGAGGCTGCAGTCGCTGCCATCGTTTAAACGTTGGTTGCTGCAACGTGGAACTTACATTTGCGATGACTTCCACTTAAGCAACTTGGCAGTCAGAGATATCTACAGACGGCGTAAGTTTCCGAAACCAGTTGACTACAAAACAGCATACGCTTGAGGAAATTGATGGCATTGTACGCGCAAGAGCTTGCTTCGTTTTAAGCATAATATTATGAGCGAATAACTGAAAGGATACGGCTTAAATCTAGTTCTTTGGAACAGCTAGCAATACGTTTCGTAAGACTTTTTATTTCCCCGGCATTGAGAACGAGAGCTTTCTCAAAACAAAATATGACGGGGCGAGATAGCTGCCATTCATATATGACTTTGCTTGAGTCTCGGGCAACGTCTCCATGTTTAGCCTTCCCGGACGCTGAGTGAATGCGTCGCAGGTTTCTGCTGTTGGAGCTTTGTCGAAAAATGTTGCACTTTTCACCCATACACAAATGATGCTAGATCTCGCGGCCCCTGTGGTTGTGCTGGGGCTTTCATTGCACACTGGTAGGTTTCAGCGTCTGTACGGCTACAAAACGACTATAATTTCGCGAATAAAAGACGGGCCGTCGATTCCTCCCTTCGTGAAATATCAGACGCTTACAATTCAAGCTCGCGTTTGAGTTTGTGGCCCGCGGGACGCGATTTCGAGCAGAAAACCAACTTTTTCTTTCAGTTCCGCTGTGCGAATGCCTCATCGTAGCAGACGAACTCTCGTCGTCTGCTCTCGCTCCTCGCCTGGGCGAGGCATGACGGGATTGTCGGCGCTAGAGAGCCCAAAGACGACGTACAGCGAGCGGCGTGAACGCTCGCCTCCCCGCGCTGTCTCGTGCTCTCGTGCATCGCCTAGGGATCGCGGGGGATTTTTCGTCAAAAGTTGCGAAGTTGAGCGCGCGCAGGGAGGAGGAAACTTTGCGGCGTTCTTTTGGTCACTCCCCCCGCTACGTCAAAAAGCGAAGAATGTTTTGCTCCACGAGTTTAGCTACCCAGGTGTCCGAAACAATCGTGCACGCTGCTCGTTTTCTTTTATAATTTTTTCTGCAACTGTCTTTACGTAAAGAAGAAAAAAAACTGAAGCGTGTTTTATAGGTTATAGAAGTAAAGGAATAATTCCATGTGGTATTATCTGAAAGCTCAAAAGATGTTTCATTGCTCCTGTAAAGTACATTGCTATAGTCACTGACAGGGTGAGAAGGGCAGGGAAGTCTTTCAGTTGTTTCGCCGGTAGCTCCAGCCTTCGATAACACTTGGGCGTCTCGTAAGCTTCGAGCGTACGCATGCTGGAGGTGGGGCATCCGAAAGAGACGCCCCGCCGTTCTCATCCTTTCAATTCCAATGTGGGCAGGAACTGCGGGAGAGGAGACGAAAGCAAGCGGGGACGTCAGAACTCCGAACTCTGGTTGGAAGGATTAGTCTGTAAAGAAAAAGCAAGTTTCCTTCGTCTCTACTCGTTCGTCGAACGGATGCGAACGCGGAACGCTGGGCGCCGGTGTTTCTCAGTCGAGCGCGTTCGAAGGGTGAGTAGAGAAAAAGGAAGCTGGCTTTGCCTTGAAGGATTAATCATTTCAATCGGAGCTCGGTGTCCTGACGTCTCCGCGAGAACTCGTCTCCAGCTCTCCCTCAGTTTCTGTCCACATAGCTCTGACATCATACCAGGCGATCTTCCGTGGGAATCACGAAGCTCAGGGAATAGTTGCTCGTGCTCCCGACTTCGGGAATGTAGTACCTCCGTGGATTTCTCCTTTGTGTTCGTCTTTGAAAACCCGCGGAGAATTATTTTGTTGGTCGAACAGATGGACACCATCGATAAAACTCCTCTGTTCTCACAAATATTATTCGGTCACTCAGCCATATTGCGTACGGTGGCCTCCCATGCCGTTGCTTGACTGATGGCGATCTCGAGTGTCGTCGGTTATTTTGAGAATACCAAAATAATCTATGCGTACTGATCTCTCTACATGGTTCTTTTATGCATTGTATAACGAACTCCGTTATCGGAGTTCGGTATAACGCATATATAGTTATAACGCAGTTATCTCTGAAGCATATAAATATGTGTGCGTGCAATAATTTTCCATTACCTTGTTATATAAATATACGGATCGCAATTGGTCAGTGAGTGTATGACGAAGAATCCATGTGTGTCAGCATTTCCTTTTTTTTTCTATTGCACGCTTTTACGTTTTCTGGAGTGGTCGACATGCATATCTCTCCAGAGGGCTCTGTCGGCCATATATGTCAGCGCATCGTGGCTCAAAGAACAGGAAGCGAAAGCTTAGGGTACTGAATCCAGGGATCTCCGGTTCGCTTCCCGCCCCTGCTGCTTTTCATCTGGAAAAGCATCGCACCAGCGTCCTCTCGTGTTCCACTACCGACTGGTGAGCATTAAATATCCCTGGTTAGTGCTCGAACTGTACTGGCTAAATTTTTTATATGCAACGTAGACAGGGGAGACTAACTTCCCGCGTTTGAATGAGTGATTACTAACATAAATATTACCAAAGTATTTTTTTTCTTTATGACTATGTATATCTTATATGACCATTTTTTGTTACCTATTAAGTATACGTATAAATAGACAGACGCAGAGCATATATGTGTCCCTTCTAGAGTCACGTCTCCATAAAGGACGATACCAACAAATATTTTGAAGATACCACAGCTCTTTGATTCGAAATGTTGGCTTTGTCTTAAAACTTAGGAAATTGGAAGCCCGAGAAGGCCAAGGTATAACTAACCAGTTACCATTTAAGTAGTGTGTATCTTGGTCCTAAATCACCAAACGACCGCCAGAGCTAGCTAGCCTAGTCGTTAGCATGCCACCTAGCGTCTTTGGGCCTCAGCTCCCGAGTGAATACAATAATTAGGCTTCACTGGTCGCTGTTAGTGACCTCTCATCTTTAGTCCTTTATCGCAAAAGAAGTGCCAGAGTAGTGCTTTCTTGTCAGGTTGCTTGGTTGTCATCTGGCATCTTTAGGCCTTACTAACCGAAGAAATGTTAGAATTGAATAGTTGTTTGGTTGTGAACTGACTTTTTTCTTGTGTGTGCCACGTTGGCATTCACGTGGCGAATCAGAGAAAAGCCAGACATTGGCATTCCTTCGACTAGTTAGGTAGAGGGCAAACTACCGGGACTCTAATTAGAGCCCCAGAAAAAACGAACCTGTCAGGTCTAAGTTAGGCCTTTATCCAGCAAAACATGGGTCAAGTTACGTTGTTCTTTGACTTGATGCCTTGGTTGCAGTGGAGCAGTTCTTTTGAGATTTATGAAACGTTTGTCAATTTTTGAGCGCATTATTATCCACCCACTTTCACGGACAACAGGGGGAAGTAAAAACGTCTTGAGAAAGATTATAGTAATTAAAGAAATTCAAGAGTTCAGACTGATTTGGCGTGTAAGAGAAAGTTTTAGATCAAGTAACACTGGGAAGGAAGACGACCTGAATGGGTGAAACGGGTGCTCTAAATTGAACACACGGCGAAAACGTAAGCGATCTCAACAACTTTATCGCCGAGTATCTGACTTATAGCCCTTGAATCGTGATACAGGAAGCTGAAGAACACAAATAAAAGGTTTAGCAGGAACAGTCGTTTTAATCGTACGAACACACTCATTCAAATGACGTTTATCATTAATACAACTTGGTCCAGAAACACGATATGAAAATACGTCTTTACGGCTATATCACACGCCAATGTGGCATACCCACGCATTATGACATCTTTTAGCGTCCCTGAGATTCCTGAAGATCCTCGGGGTTGTCACATTGCCAGCAGCTAACCATATTGGCGACAGCTCGCCGGTTGCAAAACTGCCTAACCACACGTGGATGACTTAACAGTAGAAACATCACAGATTTCACTCGTCATTCCTCTCATTCGGCAAGCCCTAAACACGAACAGTCAGTGCTCAAAGCAAGACATTGCCAGCTGGCTCACATTTCGGTTTCATCCTTTATCACGAAATTGAACAGACGCAAAGGGACGCTGGTTGTTTTTGTTGTGTACCGCTAACCACTATTTTGATTTCAAGGCCTTTACTTAGCTGCTTCATCTCTCTCTACGTGCTCTGTATCGCAACGAGCGCGTGATCGGAATAAAATCCTCTCGGAGCATGATATCTGCCTCTGAGCAAAAGCTCTAGGACGCCGTTCTACCCTGTAAATCCTGTTTTCCATTCTGACTCTCCTTCATGGTTTTGCCAGTTTGCCTCGATTCGCGCTAGATGCCGGTATTAAGCGTTTACCCTCCCAAAATGTAATAAAGCTTGATTTAAAAAAAAAAAGAATTACAGTGAATCAGCCGACCTATGGGAGCACAATTACATTAAATGAAAATTGCATATTCATTATCGTTCATTGTAGACTAACACGCGTCCTCGGTTTCCTGTCAACGATGGTGACAGAGACTCCACGCTCGCACGGTAAACCTCAGTTGAGAAGGTAAACTTGTTTACAAAACAACAAGAACACTAACTAAGAGTTCCCGAGCAGTCTTATCGGCACCGAGGCCAAGTACGCACCTTGAAGAATCACTCGAAACAGTACTACGAATCGGGAAGCATAAACGCTATCCGACCAACAGTCGTCGATGGGGAGTGGTCTCAGCTGCTGTCAGGGGACAAGCTCACCAGAACTCAGCTAGGAAACGACCTTCCGGAGTTCCTAGAAGGCGCAAAAAGTCGCTGCGCGGTCGGTGCCGAGGCAGACGCACGAAGCACCCTGTTCACTCCAATGGGCCCGACGTCCAGGGTGAGCCTGTTCAGAGGCAGGCCCACAAATCCTCCGGGCCTGGACACACCGCCCGGTCCGGCGAAGTCGTCGAGAGCGTTCCGGTAGTTCCCTTCGTCTTCGGCGTCGTCCTTGAGCTCACGAGGTGGCTCAGAAGGCCGTGTCCTGGGCACGTAGCGATCCGGGTAAATGCTGGGTTCCGGCTCCGGCGTCGGCAGCGCGTTGGTGTCTCCGCCGCCCGCCCCGAACCCTTGCCAGAAGAAGACGTGCGAGGACCCCGGCGGGCCAAGGCGCCATCCGTAGCGGCTTTGGATGCGTCCTTCACTGTCGCGCCACTGCTGGTAGAACGCGTTGCCGGTGTCGTAGTTGAGTCGGAACCTAGAGCCGGGAGGGATGGGTCCGGCCCACAGGTTCCGTGTTGGCTGAGACTGACAGCAAACGAAGAGGAGCAAAAGCAGCAGCAGCGCGGGCAGGAGCCGGGCTGGGCACCTTGGCAGTGTGGCGGTGTCCATCTCTTTACGTTCGGAGAAGCGGCTCTTGCTTGGAGAAGGGCGACGTGAAGATACGGTGTCGCTGGAACGATGCTGGCCCAGAAACAAGCGGGAAACGGCGACGATCCTCGGGCTTTCGGAAGGAGGCGAACGGAGGAGCTTGCTCCGGCGACGGCGTGATGCGTTCGCGTCGTCGTTCGTATCTGACGTTGAACGAGCGCGTCGCAGCCGCCCCTTTAACCCGTTTCGGAAAGGCGAGAGGAAATGGCGTCGGGGTGACGCGTCCTCACGGGTCCTCTCCGCTCCTCCTCGGTTGCGTTAGAGAGGGAAACATTGCGGGGCGAACAAGCGGAAGGCCTGCCTCCGTCGGGAACGGCCAGACGCTGTGACAGATCGCTGACGTAGTACCGCCACGCGCGTATGTTTGACAAGCGGGGTGACAACAGCAGGACCGATTTAACTCGTTAGGATAACTCTGGGCTCGGACTTTGGGAGAGGGGGATCGGGAGGGAGTAACGGACGTCGGTTCCGCGAATTGTTGCAACACGTTATTCGGCCCGCCCATGTGCGTAAAATCCCCGGCTGGACGAATCAGCTCTTGGCGTTCGGTCAAAGGGTACGGCTCCACCCAAGAATTTGTCCGTGCTTATGCAATAAGCATTAAGAGGTAACTATGGGAGTCTCATCTAAATGGTGTAAGGCTCAATGGCAGCACCGGCTTTAAGAAACCCTGACAAGAACACGTTATATGCGAGCCTGGCTTAGCGAATTGCCGGAAATTATAATTACGAACCTCTCCGGCATCATCCGCTTAAAACAGAACCAGCGTTTTTACAGGTGTTGACCATAACGACGCTGAATTATTTTATTCCCACATATACTCATAGTACCGCGTGATTTGACTAAGCATATTCCAATGGCGAACCGAACCAGCATGCTCGACACGAAAACAGGAACATGTTACTGGGAACCTCTATAGAACGCATAGAAAAAAGGTTGTGCTCCTGAAGTCAAAAGAGAAATGACAAAATAATTCCGCTAGAAGGCTGTGTAAAATCAAATTAAATCTAATAGGGTGTAATGCTGCCTTGATGCCCACATTAGAGTGAAGCTCATGGCTTTTCTTGTGAACACTGAATCAATTGTGACAAAGAATAGCAGGATTTGACGATTGTACAGATAGTCGGGGGATGAGGTGCCGGCACTCTATATAATTTAGTGACTTTAGTTTAAACTAAATGTCGTAGTCAAGCCGCTTACGTTTTGTAGGCATATTTTAAATCTCAAGTCTTCTAGTGTCGTTGTTGTCATATTTTCGAAGAAGTGCGGTTTTTACTACATTTCACGTTTATTTGCTTTTGGCGAACTCACACTGGCCATCGTGGATAACATGCACTCAAATCTTCACCCGACAGCGCACTGTGTTATCCGCCATCCAAACGGTTACTCGGTGAAGGAGCGCACCCTAAAGGGCCAATTTCGGTTGGTACAGTCAGATGGTGCCTGCTTCAGTGACGGTGGGGATACACCTGCATCAATTGTGAGCAGAAATAGAAGGTCTGGGTTACCGCTGCATCAAGCTCACATCACGTGATCTCGCTATCGCGCTGAAGAATATACGGTTCATTGTTTCGCGCACCTGCTCTTTGTAAACGTCCGCCGCAACCAGCGCCACCACCGGAGGGGCTGTGGACAGACGATGGTTAAGGCCGTTTTACTCTCACTAAAGGTGGAGAGCGGTACGACGAACACACCGTGTTTTCTTAACTGTAGACCCTCACCCGCTGAATAATACGTGCAAAGAATATTTTCACACATAGCCCACCTTGACAAATGCGCACTCTATTAACTCCCAAAAAAGCTACCATACATAAATCATTACACTAACACATTCTGTCTTTCACAAAATTCGTCACGACTCGTTATAATGAACGATTTAGAAAAACGAAATCCCTGTGTTGTCCGCACCTGTGGATATCCAACTCTGTTTAAAATTTCACTTTCCAAACTTGTATAACTCGCAGACTACGACATGATAAAGTACCCGCGTTTAATTTTTCCGCGTGCCACATGGGCAGCAAGACAGGAACACGTTACTAAAACAGCCATTAAACGCCGTTTAACCCATGAAATGGTAACGAATATACATTACTAATTCTTTATCTTTAAATGTGACAATGTCGTTATTTCGTTGCGGAAAAAAAAAAGTAATTATACTCTATCTCACTGGTTATGCGCTGTGCTGCCAAAACCGAAGTAGGAAGAGAGATGCAAACCGCTTTTATATACATTTTTAGTGAAGGGCTTATATTCTAATGCGACAAAAGCAATGTCTGGGCCTCGCACGAGAGGGTCTGGGTAGCAGGGGTGTTTCACTTTCCGCTCTTTTCCAACTGCTTGCGTTAGACTATGGCCATTTTGCCTCTGATAACGCTGAACGCATCTAGCGGGACAGAGGGTAAATACAAATAACGCATTACTCTTAACGAGTTAATCACAGCAAAAAAAAAAAAAAAAATCATCTGGTGGGTTAGTTGGCTATACATCTTAATTACGCATGGAAGTCTGCAAACAGCCAGTCTGCTTTCAGAGGGAACTCGGCGTACGACGAGGCCAAAAAAAAAAAAAAAAGCGTTCCTGTTGAAAAATAAAATTGGCGACATCAAACCCAGGGGTCTCTAAATCCTGGCCCTCGGAGGAATTGGGCGGCGCGCAGTTGCACGCGGTGTTTACACGCGCCCGGCCCGCAACCCACTACTAAAAAAAACAAAAAAACAAAAAAAAAACTCTCTCAAGAAAAAAAGAAAAAGAAAGCACCGCGACGCGCATTAAAAGGGTAAAGGAAGGTACTAGGAAGAATGAAAGAAAACTTCAACAAACCGATGGATCTCTCGCCATAATATTTATTATACATCTTCATTCCCAGCATTAATATTCGTAGTTCCCTGCTTCATGTCTGTGTAACTATGATAACATTTTTTAACGTTCTCATTAATATCGGGCCTAGTGTACTGTGTCATAACCCCTATATTCGAATCAGCAAATCTACCATTTTCATTATAATCTTCTGCCCTGTGTGAATATGCCAAGGTTCTTGTACGCTTTGATTTATGCCTGGTACATTCTCCAGGTCACATTTATTTTATAGTGTCATATTTAGCAACATATGAATTGTAGAAAGAAGGTTAATGACCTGATCCGGTTTACATTCCTTTTTAAAATTATGCTTTATACATTTTCGTATTTAAATGCTTATTTAGGTCTATTCATTTTGTATTTTCTAATTTATATTGTTTTAAACTTTTCCCAGCCTTGTAGTCTGCTTTATGTCCCTAATCCGTCCCCTTAGCCAAAAAGGTTTAAGATCGCGCCTGTTTTACGTACTTACGTCGTACGCATTGTAACATTAAAATGTTAACTTCTAGGTTCATTTTATTTTTTTTCGCCAGTTGCCGTGCTTTTTCAAGAGATCCCGAAGATTGGCTCTCTGTTTGCTGCGCGGAAAAGTAGGAACACGGGGGTGATCTTTAGGTTGTACGTCAAAACTATACGTTTGCTGTAAACTAAACAAATACCCTACCGTGACAATAAACCAAAGTGAAAGCATAAAAGTATAAAGCAGCCAAATATAAATCTATTTAAACTCCGACATTTTTATTTTTTCAAAACAGTGCCTGCGAACACTTTAATTGCCTGCATAGTAACACAGTACGTAAAATAACAATTTCGTGTGCTTAATGAAGAAATACAAATAGTAAAAATGTCCAGGAAACATACGAAGTGCGCTGGGCTAATAAACATGAAGCCTCGTGTATTTTGTTTGGCAACGCTAATAACTTTTTTTTACATAATTTGCTTAAACATAAGGACAGGAGTACCGAAGTTCCGGAGAAAAAGGGCATCCCTGTGACAATCGAGATAACGCTTTTTTTTTTTTTTTTTTGCTGACGTCACCGAGAGAAAGGAACTTATGTTAACACCATTTCTAAAGATTGGTTCTCACACAAACAAAACTCCACGTTGAGCGGAACGTTGCCTTTTTCTAAGACCTCTCGCAGTTTTTTTGTTGGCACAGACAGTCACATCGCTTTTCAGCTTCGCGAGGCGCTGAGTGTAAACTTCGTAAACAGCAGTGGCGACGTAGAAACACAGACACCTCATTGAGCCAATAACGTAATGCGTCAAAGCTGCAACATTCGTTGTGGACCATTTAGTGTGTGAAATGAAAAAAAAAAAAAATATTATCAGTATGACATATCAATGCGTCGTCATTCGCTGTAGCCCCTGCCTGCAGTATTTGTTGTGTGTGTGCGAGGCGGCGCATACGCGACAACCTGCTAAATTCTAAAGGATTACAATAAAAAAATTGCCGACATAAAACCCCACACGAATATAATTGGAGTTCGCCCACTGCACGACACATACGCGTAAATAACTGCACTCCCCCTCACGTATCGTGGAATGTGGGACTGCCTAAAGAATATCTCTGCAATAGACCCTTTTCAAATGTCCATCGAGCAACACTGGCGGCCGCCATATTTTGGACATCGCTTCTTGCGGGAAGCGTGTGGTTAGATCCGAGTTCACGCCGAGCGCTGGAGCATCTTCGTGTCCCATCCGTGCTCAAAGTGCGTGCTCAAAATAGGGAGGCCTCGTAGCGGCTGCTGGAGGGCGCGTACTTTTGAAAAGAGAGAAATTGAGGAAGAGTAGGAGGTAAGAGCACGCGGGGACGTCAGAGTGCCGTGCTCAGATTGGAAGGTTAGTTAGTGGAGGCAAAGGCGAGCTTCCTTCGTCTCTAGCCACTGTGCGAATCCGAGATACTGCACGAGGAGCAGACGACGCCCTTGTTTGCTATGATTAGACGACATAGTGGGTAGTACAAAAAACAGCCAGACTTTGCATCTACCCACTGGTCATTCTAATTAGAACTCGGCGCTCTGGAGCTCCCGCGCTCTCTTATCTCCTCCTCTCTCTCTCAGTGTTTCTCCATGTAGTAAATTATATTTGCTTTGGGAGTGTGACGACTCCCCGTCGATGAAGCGATGCCAACGTCGCGAAATGACGGGAGTCGCCAAGTTTGCAAAGCATCGGGCCAGCGTGGTCATTCTCCTCGTCGCCTGCCGCATTGTAGGCCTTGCACGTAGCGCGTGTTTGCTGACACTCCCGTGCGCGTGCACACAGAGGCCTAGTGCAATCAACGTCGCTACCACGTTTTCTCTTGCCAGGCGGTTAATGACATCGGTAACGCGGGGTGCGGGGATGTCTGTCCTTTGACGGGGGCATCAAAGAGAAAAAAGGGCGTATCGCATTCTGTCGCCGGTGTTGGCATTGATGGCTCGACAGCTTTACGTCACTTCTGACGTAACAATTCCGAATGAGCACGGTTGACGCTCTTGCAATACAAAGACTCCCTGCTGTGTTTTCCGACGACAGAGTAGCGTAAAATATCGGGCGGAGTTTGCTTATAACACTACGACTCAGCTACAATGTAACTGTATACGAACGTCACATCGGCGCAGTGATGACCCACACACTGTAGCGCCGTTCTTGCTGTGAGTGTGTAGTGGTCGTAAGAAAGGTTCGGGTTTATGCCGTAATTACGCCAGTGAGGAAGATGCTTCCTTAGGATATGTCCAAATAT